CACCTCTGTCCAGAGTAGGATAACTTCAAAGTAATGGCCAGTGTGACCTCCTTTGTTTTCCCTGACCCCCGTTCAGCAAATGGCTGTTTGTAGTGTGCGTGAGGCTCTAATGAGGCTGACCTCTGGTCAGCTCTCTGACTCAGAGTGGTCTCTTCAAGCCCAACAGGTCAGTGATGGAAAAAACGTTCCTGTGCCAATAAAATAATCCTCTCAGTGAAGTAAACATTTCTCAAAGTAAAATATTTAGGCAGCTTTGACTGCAGGAGTCAAACAGAAGAAACAGGTTTTTTTTCTACATACAGTGATCCTCTGTTGGATCACCTTCATCACCTTCATCACCTTCATCACCTTCATCACCACACAGAGGTTCTGTTCTGCCTTCAACCACCCACCACTGCAGAACGGTTTCAGGTAGAGAGAGAGAGAGAGAGAGAGAGAGAGAGAGAGTATTTACTGTCCCTCTGAAACACTCGTCTGATTCAGACGAAGAATTTAGTCCATGTGTACATTCATTTTTTTATGATTCACACGGCAATACATTTTTCCATTTAAATGTCACTCCATCTGGAATTTTGTGTCTCAGAATTCTGTTTTCTTTTTTCTTGCATGACGACACTGAGACACTAACAGAACTAAAGAAACCACGTCGTTCTAAGAGGGGGAAAAAAATTAACTTCATTCCAAGAAATTTTGCAAACATGATTTGATAGATATATAATAATATAACGATACCAAAGACTTAAATGTAAATGTTATAAATGATAAACTCATTTATTAAATTCTATAACAATAATTTGTTATATGTCAATAAATTCACCTTTTTGGACTTGTAAAAACATTTGAAAACTAAGTTTAATAACTAAATGGGTTGTTTTTTTTCTATTATTTTTTCAAAAGCATCACTTGAAGTAAGTTGGCAGCATTCCATAAAATCATATAATAATTAAATTATAGCACATGCAGCACAACAAAGCCACAAAATAGCCAAATAATTAGCTTTTTAGGAAATTAAAAAATGTAGAAAAACAAACAAAAAAACAGAACAATAAAATAATTTAAAAATAAACATTAATATTTTTTAGTTAAAAATACCCCAGACACAAAATAATAGGAAAATATTAAATGTTCTTACAAAACTTTGTAACTCAACAAATGCACTTTAAAGAAGTTTTATTTGTTTGCAGAACTTTTATTTCTGGAGCAGTTAACTTGATTTGTTTTTGTTCAAACGACGTTCCGTCTCACAGTGTCTTTCTCTGTTGTTTTTCTCTTTTCAGGAGACGTTCATGAATTTTTCTAAAGACGCAGACAAGTGAGAAGAGGGTGTCGGAGTTGAAGTCTCTTATTTCGGTAAGTTATTTCTTTCCCCTCTCACTAACTGATAGACACAAACGACCAGTTTCTGTGTCTGCGAGCCACGGTTTAGAGAAAACATGTTGTCATCAGCCTCCGCAACCTTTTTATCTGTGCCAGCGTTTATACAAATACGATGTACAGCATGTGTACGTGACAAAAATGATTCCTGAAGACGGCGGCTACAGTCACTGCTGCACACACACCACGCTGAACGCTGAATATTCAGGTAAACACAGGCTGAGAATCTGATTGAATCTTGAACTAAAGCCATTTATTTAACTGAGCGCTAGTTCATCAGTCAGTTAGTGTTGATTATTATATACTGGACTGCTGGATTGAGGGACACGCACACACACACACACATACATACACACATAGATGTGCTGGCCACAGCAGATGTCAGCCAAATATATATATATATATATATAAAGACATTTTGGTTGTATAAAAGCACCACTCAGAGCTGACGGAGTCGTCACGTCATAGATCTGATCGTATTACAAGACGTTCTCGATCTGTTTCCTCTCAGCAGAATGAAGCTGCTTGGGCTCCAGCACTTGTTTTATCAGAATGTGTGTGTGTGTGTGTGTGTGTGTGTTGGTCCATGCTAACAAAACTGAAGCTGACACTGTGCATGTCCACTGCCTCTCTCCCCTCCGTCGGCGCATACAGAACGCTTTTGATTTGTTCCACAGCTAACGCAGACCTCCACTCCAGTTAGTATTCTGCCTTGTGCTCCTCAATGACTGCTTTCACTTGGGTGAAGAAAGGGGTCTTTAAAGACTCACAGGCATCACTCCAGGAACCTTTCAACGCCTGGACCCTACAGTACGCCTTTTAATGGACTCTCTCTCTCTCTCTCTCTCTCTGTGTGTGTGTGTGTGTGTGTGTGTGAGAGCAATAAAGATTATATCTGGAGTCAAATAGTGCTGTAGGTAACACTAGCTCAGATCAGGCTGGTGAGGCTGCAGCGGCCGATGTGGATGGTTTCAGCAGAAGAGAGCGGGAGACGTAGGAAACGTACAGATGGGAGTGGTTAGAGAAAAGAGTGATCTGACCATCTGGCTAATCCCCCTGTTTAAGAATACTTATTATGGTCCTCTCTAGTGGCTCTTGAGCAGTGTCACTGTGAGGTCAACAAGTGGCCTGTTTGATTCCTACAGACATCTTTGTGGCCGATCCGACGGGTGTTCACTTTCACAGAGGTGATTTATGGCTCCTGTAAGTCATATTGTGTCATTCCACCGAGGAGTGTTAGAGGCCCATAAACAGAGCCGTGAGGTCAGCCGTACTTATGGTCAAGTGGGCTGCAGGTTTTAATGTGATGATATTTAACAAATGGGTTTAGTGACTCTGGAAATTAAATTATTTTTCAGTAAATTTCCTAATGCTTCTGTAGGGAGCCGGGAATCTGAACACTGTAGTTCAGTTTTGGAAACATTATTTTTCCTTATGCTTCTGTACAGAGCTGTGAATCTGAAGACTGTAGTTCAGTTTTGGAAACATTATTTAACTTTGTACACACTGGGGCAGTGGAGGTGGATTCAGTTCCAAAGGGTTTAAGGTTCGAGTCCACCAGCTGCCAGGTTACCACTGAGGTGCTCTGAGCCTGGCACCGTCCCCACTCACTGCTCCCCGGGCGTTTAAAGCTGCCCCCTGCTGACTGTGGTGATGGGTTAAAAGCAGAGGTCACATTTGGTTCTGTTCAGTGTCACAATGACAAGTCGTTCACTTTCCTTTCCAAAAGACTGGAGCTGTAGATGCACAGACACAACATCTCACCATGGGGAGAGTGTTCTTTGGGTTTCGTACGCTGCCAAAAAAGGAAAACCCAAAAGGAGGACTTGATGTGTATTTCCTGAAACTCAGTTCCAGGCTGGACTTTCTGGTTGAGTCTTGGCAGTGATTCATCCAACTCTATATCACTGATATTTGATCGTTCCAAACTCACCTGTGAGCTGTTTATGACAAAGAAACCTGATGCATCAGATTGACCAGTTTTTCTGTAGTAGACAGCACAGACAGGAGGACGAGGCTGTAAGGTTTAACACAGTGGAGAGCCAAGTTCAGGTCACTGTTGGTCATTGTTAGATGTTGTTCTCGGCTCTTCGACACTAGTTTTCTTATTAAAGTATTTTTACTTTGTTGCTGCCACTTCTAGATAAAACTTTTCCCTTTAGTTCCTGTAGGTTGGAAATATTTAATGTTTTTAATAAATGTCTGTCAGAATGAACAGTTAACCTTTTTTGCGGTTTTGCGCTTCAGTAGGAGCGCTGTTCCAGTTTTAAGCAGAATGAACAGTTAACCTAAGGTTTTGCGCTTCAGTAGGAGTGCTGTTCCAGTTTTAAGTTAGTTATGTTTTTTATATACATATGTGGACATATTTAAATGATTATTTACAGTTATATTTGAAGAATATATGAATCACACCCTGCAGTTTAGATGAACACTTTAAAAGCATGAACGATCATGTTCTTATTGTCGCAGACTAAAAAGATTATTGATCCTAATAATGCTCATTTGTCTGAAAATGCTTAAAAAAAAAACTTCTTATCAAACACTTGAGAAAAACCAATGGTAACCAGTTTGTCCTGGCAGTGTGTTATCAGCACCAGAGGTTTGACGAGACTAAACTCTATTCATTCGCTAAAAAGAAAACATCAGGGTCGTCCCCCTCCCCCCCCGCGCCCCCCCCGGTCTGATTGTTCCGGTGTAAATAAAGGATCGAGTCCATTCAGGCTCAGTTCTAATTCCATCAAACCCTCTTAATTCTATCATTTTATCTGGAAAATACAAATCACATTATTGTGTCTGTGTTAACATGCGATTGCTTTTCAAATTGAATGATTCTGTGGTGAGATGACAGGTGGACCCTCCTAACCAAAGGACGGTCCTCACATGGCACCGCTCCTGTCCTGACAGCACGGATTTATGGATTCTTTGTTTGATAGACTTTGGCAGAAACGCCGCTGCTGCTGCTGAAGGATTTACACAGTGAAAGGCTAATGACTAATGTTTTCTACGATCCCACGTCAGTGGACAGTTGGCAAAATCTGCCCTGACACGTGTTCCTGTTGAATATGTTGGACTTTTCTTTTTTTTTTGTCGTTGAAATCCTGGAAAACTAAATATAGATTTTAATTTTTACTCTGTTTTCCTTTCATTCGTAGAAAAGTAAAATGTAATGAAAAAAAGGAAACGTTTGTTAATAGAGCTGGACATTTCTCTAACAGGAGTCAGATCTGGACTGCAGGCAGGCCGGTGAAACTCCATGTTTGTCATTTTTGTCTGATCAGCTTGTCGAGGCGTTAAGAAGGCCTTGGTAGATTCTCTTTTTTTCTCTTTGACCCAGTGTAAAAACTGAAACGTGTATTAGCTAACCTGCTAAGTGAGGAATCTTTTCAGCTCTGTCACCTTTTCTCTGCCTTTGTTCCAACTCCTTTAGAGTTTCAGGCTGTCAGTTATTTATTTTAAATACATATAAATGGTGGTGAGGAACATTGAATCTCTTTTCAATTATTCAAACTTTTGATTTATTTCCTATTTATCCAAACTTATTTGCTTTTTGTTACTTGTTGTTTGCTTTAATGGCAGTCATTTGCAAAGAGTTAGAAAAACATGGAGAGAACAAGCAGCTGCTGGTCGACCAAACGAGTTAATGAGCTAATGAACGCGCTGAGGTTACCTGTTTGGCTTCGCTTGTACAATGTCCTTTTCTGCTCCGTTGCTTTGGAGCTCGGCTTTTTATGAGAACTGCCCTCAGTTACAGTATAACAGGAATCAGTGCTTCTGATGGGAAACTTGTAACAAAATTAACTGAACTTCTTCAGTGCTTAACCTCATGTTTACAGTGAACTATTGTGTCCCCTTGACCCTGGACACTGAGTGGATGAATCTGATCTGTCTCCTCATCTGAAATGTCCACTCAGAGTGGACAGACTGTCCTTCAGGCTTGCAGCTAAATAACTTCCTTGATGACAGTAAAATAGAAACTGTGCAGCCCTGACCTGGGCTTCACTTCAGGTCGGTCCGTGTGTTCATGTGGGCTAACTCACCAACACATGTGCGACAAGTACACATGTTTATGCATTGGGTTGTTTGTCAGGCTGAGTCTGTATCAATTTATTTGTGTTTCAGCCTGCGTGCATGTTTGTGTTTTGCACACTCATGCCTCATCAACATCCCGTCTGAAGCCCATCTGGTTTGCTTTGAAGGAGCTGGTGGAGCTGCAGCGGCCAGGGCCGGGCCAGCAGCGGCTCCCTCTCACTTATACATAAATCCAGGGCACAGGGCCGTCTGCCAGCAACAGTATAGACCAACTCTCGTGGCTACTACCCAAACCACCCAAGCTCATTCCCCACTTTCTCTATTCTATTGCCCTTGAAATGGGGCCTGCTCTAAATATTATCTCCCCCTGTGCTTTATCCCTCCATTTATCCCGGAGTCGGCAGAGAGAAGAAAGGAGCCGTGTGGCTGAGTCACTTTTTCCCCTCTCTTCTCCTCTCTCCGAAACCACAGGCAGCAGCAGCGGCTTCCTGGAGATGAGCGCTTTTGTCTGTTGTGTGACCGCTGCGGCTTTAGGCAGATCCTCCTCTGATGAGGTAATGCGCAGGGCTAGATGATGATGATGATGATGAGGAGGAGGAGGAGGTGAGCGCAGTGAAGTTGGAACTGTATCATTAAACCTTTGATTTATTTGGGATACAGGATCTCCTTAAGGAGGCATTCTGTAGTAGCACCCAAACGCAGTACGAGGCCGAGCGTCTCCATGAACGTCAGGTGAAAAAACCTACGAACCGTTTCTCAACTTTTTTTTTCCATTTTTTTTTTTAGATATTTTACTGGCAGAAATTGAACAAACAAATGTGAATTTGTGGTATGAACGCAATAGAAGAATGAGATAGAATGAGTTACTGCTCCGGGGTTGGATTTGGTTTGTGTGGATTTTTTTTTTCAGTTCAAGTGAGTTCAACCTCAAAATGTATCTATTGTACAGAATGTACATATTACATGTAAATATGTACTGTATAATACTGTAAATATTATCCAAACAGCAGGTTACTTATCTACCTGTCCTTTACGGGCTGCTACAAACGCAGTTTGATTGCTCTGGTCAATACCCTAAAGGCACTGGTTTTAATTTGTTAGAAACGTACTGAGCCACTGGTTCATCAGGACAGACGGGGAAGATTTCAAAGAAACACAAATTAATCCTGCACTCAGTCGATCACACGTGAGATTCAGCAAATTTCTCAGAAGTGACAATAAATTATCATGGATAACCCCCCCATCTTCCTGCTGTTTTAGCCTTTATCCACTGGCTTATTGTCCCCTGTGGGACAGACATGGCAATTGTACTTGTTTTTCTAAGCTTTTAAACATTCAAACTCAGGTTCGGGCCATGGAATGGTCTAACCAGATGTTTGTGGATGTTTGTAGATCCGGGCTCAGAGACAGGGACGATGACCGTTTTAGGTTGTGTCCATTTTCCGAGATCGAACTGTTTAAAACATTGATACTTTTGAATCATTCGTCGTTATTCTTCGGTCTTAAGATTGAGTTTGTATTTTGGCTGTTTTGTCTCTGAAACGTTCATCAGCGTCGGCTGACTTTGAGTCGTCGTCTTTGTTATAATTTCCAAGGTGGCGACTTGTGTTTTTCCTGCACGTCAGGTGTTTTGTGGAGGAATGTTACGAGACTTGCCGACATACGGACCAATTGCTTCCTCCTTTTTAACAGTTCCAGGTCACATGGGTCAGAGGTCAGGGTCAATTTCAGCTGTTGCGCACCGGGTTACAAGGCAGCGCCACCTGGTCTCCAGATCACAG